ACACGCACACGCACACGCGCACACGCACACACACACACACACACACACACACACACACACACGCACACGCACACGCACACGCACACGCACACGCACACGCACACGCACACGCACACGCACACGCACACGCACACGCACACGCACACGCACACGCACACGCACACGCACACGCACACGCACACGCACGCGCACGCGCACGCGCACGCGCACGCGCACATGCACATGCACGCGCACGCGCACGCGCACGCGCACGCGCACGCGCACGCGCACGCGCGCGCGCGCACGCACGCACGCACGCACGCACGCGACCCCCGCCACTCACATACACACACGCACACACACACACACTTTTTGCGTCGGCGGTTATGCAGAGTGACTGCGCTTGCGGATAGCCGCACACAGACACACGCACACGCCTCGCACGCCTGGTTCCCTTCAGGGGGCTGAACATGCGGTCCCAGTGGGTGCGTTTGCATGCCGCCGCACCGCTCATGTTCCGTACACGCCTCACACGGATCGTGCCCCACAGGGACTTATGCTTGCGGCAACCAGCAGGTTGGTTCGCATGCCGCCGCCGCGCCTGAGTGTTCACGCTCCTCACATGTTTCGTGCCCTACAGGGAACTCCACCTGCGGCCCCCCGAGATTGTGCTCGCATTTCCCACGCCCATCTCAGAAAGAGCGTGTTCTACCGCTGCTGGCGGAAAACCGGGGGGGGTCACTACCGGTTCGACCCCCCCCCTCCGGAAAACCGGGGGGGGCCAGTATTGGTTCGAACCCCTCCCCCCCCAGTCCATCATAAAAAGGGGGGGGGTCACTACCGGTTCGAACCCCCCCCCTGTCGAAAACTGGGGGGGGTCACTGCCGGTTCGAACCCCCCCCCCCAAAATCTGGGGGGGCTGCGAACAGTGGTGGGGACGGTGGTGGTGGGGACAGTGGTGAGGGGACAGCGGGACAGTGGTGGGGACAGTGGGACAGTGGTGGGGACGGTAGTGGTGGGGACAGTGGTGAAGGCGGTGGTGAGGACAGTGGTGGGACAGTAATACGGTGGGGAAAGTGGTGGGGACAGATGGGACATTGGAACAATGATGGGACAATGGTGGGAACAGTGGGGACAGTGGGACAGTGGTGGGGACGGTGGTGGTGGGGACAGTGGTGTGGGGACAGTGGGAATATGGTGGAAACAGTGGGACAGTGGAGGGTACAGTGGTGGTGGGGACAGTGGTGAAGGCGGTGGCGAGGACGGCGGTGGGACAGCGGGACAGAGGTACAGTGGGGACAGTGGTGGGGACAGTGGGGACAGTGGTGGGAACAGTGGGACAGCTCAGTGGGACAGCGGAGGTGACAGTGGGACAGTGGGGACAGTGGGGATAGTCGGGTAGTGGTTGGGGCCGTGGAGAAAGTGGGGAGAATGGAACCGTGGTGGGAACAGTGGTAGGGACAGTGGGTGCAGTGCGACAGTGGTGGGGGCACTGGTGGGGACAGTAGGGGCGGTGGTGGAACCAGTGGGGACAGTGGTGGTGAGGACAGTGGTGCTGGGAACAGCAGTGGGGAATGTGGCGCGTACGGCGGTAGGGACCGGGAGTCGTTTGCTGGCGGTGAGGGGGGAGGGGTCGAATTGGTAGTGACCCCCCCGCCGGTTTTCGAGGGGGAGGAGGGGGGGGGTTCGAACCAGTGGTGACCCCCCTCGGTTTTCCGGAGGGGGGGGGATTCGAACCGGTAGTGACCTTCCTCTGGTTTTCTGAGGGGGGATGGAGAGGGGTTCGAACCGGTAGTGACCCCTTCGGTTTTCGAGGGGGGGAGGTGGGGGGGGTCGAACCGGTGGTGACCCCCCCCGGTTTTCTGGAGGGGGAGGGGGGGGTTAGAGGAGGGGGGGGGTTTTGCCGGGGGAGGGGTGGGGTGGGGGTCCAGCAGGGGGGGGGGATTTTCGGAGGGATGGGGGGGGAACTCCGGGTTCCGGAGGAAGAGGGGGGTGAATTTTCCACGGTAAAGCAGCGGTGGATCACGCTCTCTCATCAGCACACCCCTCACACGCATCGCGCTACACACGGAACTCAATCCACGGCCCCAGAGATCGTGTGGGCATAACGTTCCCCCGCCCACTTCAGCACAATTCCACAGTCATGGTCCACAGGGTTTTCCACCCACGGCACCAGATATTGCGTCCGCACAGCGTCCCCCCGCACATTCTGGCACACCCTCAATGTCCCACAAGGACCTCCACCCACGGCCCGCAGATATTGCCTTCGCATAACGTGCCCCGCCCATTGCGGTAATTACACGTCTCAACGAGAACGTGTCCCATAGGGATGTCCACCTGCCTGCGGCCTCAGTGGGTGTGTTCGCGTTGGGAGGGGCTCCGCCCAATTCGGAGCACCCCATCACGCGGATCGTGCCACGTAAGGACTCCAGCGCGGTTTTGCGCGCTTCCTTCGCGGTCTGCTACCCGCACTGCCCCGCGGCGCGCACTACCGTATATGAGCGCGCCTTGCGCTACACGCAGCAGCATGGAGTTAGGTCATCCACCAGACCACCAGACTTGATGTTATAGCTGATGTCATGTTTTCGCCATCCGTGGCGTCTCTAGTGGGCCCTCAGCACGGGGTGGCCTGCGGCCTGACGCTGGGGCCGATACGATCCAATCTCTTGGGCCCTATTTGACCTCTTGGGTCTCCGCCGCCTCTGGGCATCCCAAGCAATCTTGGCGGTCTCTTAGGGCCTTCATGGGCCCCTGTGAGAGCTTATTGGAAGCTTTGTGACCGTCTTATCCAGGTTGGCTGTGTCCGACGTCTCTGTGGCGAGGCTTTGGAGATGAAGCGCCCAAACCACCCCATATGTGGTGAGGCCATGTGGTGCGCACCGAAGACGCATCCTGCGAGTCATCGCCGCCCCTGCCGTTTGGGAATATCTTGGGGCATCGTGGCAACCTTTACAGGCCGTCTTGGCACCACTTGGAGGTCCCTCGGGGCCCTCGTGGACTGCTTTTTGGTTACCTGTTTGCTGGCTCGGAGCACTACGGGGCGCACAGGCTTGCACATGAGAGGTCGGGCACCTCAAGAACATTCCAGGCTACTCGCTTCTGCGGCTTGCTTCTGATGGGGAGCCTCTCACGACGACGATCACCACAGCGACGACGACGACGCCGCCGTCGGACACCGCCGCCGAGGGCCCCGCCGAGGGCTGCCGAAGGCCCCGCCGAGAACCGCCGAGGGCCGCTAGAGGCCGCCGGGGGCCGCCGAGGGCCGCCGAGGGCCGCGGAGGGCCGCTGGGGGCCGCCGAGGGCCGCCGGGGGCCGCCGAGGGCCGCCGAGGGCCGCCGGGGGCCGCCGAGGGCCGCCGAGGGCCGCCGAGGGCCGCCGGGGGCCGCCGAGGGCCGCTGGGGGCCGCCGAGGGCCGCCGGGGGCCGCCGAGGGCCGCCGGGGGCCGCCGAGGGCCGCCGGGGGCCGCCGGGGGCCGCCGAGGGCCCCCGAGGGCGGCCGGGGGCCAGCGAGAGCCGCCGGATGCCGCCGAGGAGGCGGAGGCGGAGGCGGGGGGGCCTTCTGCGACGGCGCGCGCGTAGGCGTTCCTCTCGGGTTCCTCTCGGAGCCTTCACGGCGCCAGTAGTTCGGTTCGAGAGGGGTGCTGGGCCTCCAGGCGCGCTCTCGGAGTGCAGCTTTGGGGCCCTCTTGGGGTGCAGAAGGAAGTGGGAGCCCATGCCAAGAAACGTCCTGCTTGCCTCCAGGGTGCCCTGGGTTTCTTGGGATTCGCTGATTTTGCTATGGAAAGTGTGACGTCCCCACACCAAAAATCAACGGACATCTGGGGTCTCAGGGCTGGGTTTCTTGTGGAATGTGTCTTGAGGTCGAGGTCCTACTGTACTGTAGTCTTGGGTGTCCAGGGGCCCTGGTGGACTGCTCTCGAGCCAATCTCGGGGTTTCGGGGCTCCCGCGTTCTGGAGTGCGCGCGCTGGTCGGGGGCTAGCTGATGAGCAAAGGTTGTGTTGTTTCTTCTCGCTTCGGCGCATTTGCCGAGGTGCCGCATTCAGCGGTCCCTGGACAGGGGAGATGTTGCTCTCCTCTTCGCGGTTCAGAGCAATATGCAGACAAGGTATCTCAAGCCACTCGACCACAGCGCTGGAGAACCTGTATGATGTGCGCCCTAACCGCACTTCTAGTGGCGTACCTCGTCACTCCTCGTCCTTCGATGCGTAAGGAGGTGTTTCAGATGGCTAGAGTCGTGGGTGATGGTAGATACATCGCCTGAGGCTAGTATACGTTGGTCCAGAACTTCAGAGGTGCATCACATCACGAATGTGTTCGAGGGAGTTCGGTGTACGCAGAAGTGTCGAGGATTGTATCTTTGTGAAGCGTTCGTTCGCGAACATATCACGTTGGATACAAACACGAAGTATGTTTGTATCTCAGGAAACGTGAATTTCTCACATTGCACGCACAGTTGCGGAATTACACAGGTGGTTCAAGACATGTCAGGAGGGGAAACACACAGGCAGGCACAATGAAACGTCGGCGTCCAGGGAAATATAGGAAAATATGAGAAGTGGAGGGGAAAACGAAAGTCCAGAAAATTGAAAGTATGAGCAATCCTGGGATTTGTGTCTATTTATGTGAGTGTCCCTCGGCCCTCTGAACATGTTTCATCGCTCGCCTGTTCCAACTTCGAAGGATATGCACCCTAGATTTCAGACATCAACACCTCTCACGGCTCAGTTCAATGTGTCCATGTGTGAATTTCGTGGTGGAAGATGTGTCATGTGGAGCACGACCAGGAGTCAAGAGGTCCATCACGAGCGCAACCATTGTAGCAGTAACATCGTTACCGACGATTTACGGAATGTCGCGGAAGCCGTGTATCATCTCGGCGCGCAGGAGGCGCGTCTGATGTTGTTCGTTCGCAGGCTCAGGGCAACTGACAGCGTCGTGGCTCAGCGATCCCAGCATAAGCAAATTGCGCAGTGATATATTGTTTTTTGCTGGTTGCCAGTGCTGATCACGCGCGAGGGAAGGTCTCCAAGCTGGACATCTCAGACGAGTTCCGCCGAGTTCTCCTGGCAGTCAAGGCGCGCACACCTCTTTGGCAGCGCGGCATTTCAGACTTCACCATGGGGCTTCTCAGCGCTCAGGACTTGACCCCGGCGCAACCCTCGCAGTGCCCCCGCGGTACCTCGATTGTAGGCCGACTGTCCGCCGATTGATTATTTTCTCAGGGCTCGGAACGCCACTTGCTCTCAGTCGCCATGTCAGTGGCAGCAGGGCTATGAAATAATGCCAAAGCCGTCTGCTTTTGTGCTGGTCGCCGTGTTGCTCGTGCTCGTCTCATCGACCGTCGACCGCCCGGTCTGCAAAGGGCAACGACCACAAGATACACATGATACTCAACAAGGCGCGGCGGCATTTGCTACGCATCGGCTGTCTCGGTGATCACGCCGCTGCTGCTTGAATGTGGCTCCCAGCATTCGCCTTTAGCCGATAGTTTGCGATGTCTCTCTTGCATGTGTGCCCCAGTCCTGCCCTGACGAGGAGGAGCGATATGTGTCCTCATCAGAGATTCCTGCTCGGCACGCGTGCTTTGGTGCGGCCATCGCGCAAGCTGGTGAGCAAGGTGCCCCCTCGTCAAGGACCCTGCGTAGTACGCGTGTGCTGGTTGAACGTTCCATGTCATGCAAGGGCCTTGGGTGGCAGACATCCTGCGATTGCCCCGAGCTGGTCTCCAGGGCCCGCCCTCGCCATGCCTGCCGCCGCCGAAGGCGGACCGCGTCACGACGCCGCAGCTGATGCGAGTGTACGGCGGGATGGGGGCCCCCGGGACAGGCGCGGGGCTCGGGAGACCCGAGTTTGCGAGCAGGCATGCGAGGGGCAGAGGACTCACCGAGTCGGACGTGAGGGGAGGATAGGGAGTCGGGGCTCAAGAGACGGGGGTCAATGCGAACGGGGATCAGTCGGAGCGCCGGATCTTGCAGGATCCTGCAGAGCCAGGGGCGCATTGTCCTGGGCTTGGGTGCTGGATTCTGCAGGATCTTGCAGGATCTTGCAGGGTCTCGTAGGATCTTGCAGGATCCTGCGCGGCCTGACTGACCCGGGTCTGGATTGACCCGGGTCAGTAGATCCCTGAGGGAAATGTTTTTTGGGTCACGAAATCTGTTGCATGCAGCCAGTTTCAACCCCGCCGCCTGGCGCCTTTCTCGATTCGTTGTCGCCGTGATGTGCCGAGAAAACCTGCCGCTGCGTGAGCTGATTCGCAAGACCCCCCCTTTACTACCCCCCTCTTTCGTCCGACCCGAGACGGAGGAGGCGGAGCAGTGATGAGGTGGATTCTGCTGCTGCCGTTCTCTCGCTCCCCTTCCCCCATGTGCATCTTCAGAGTCGGGCGTCGGCGTATCGGAGTCGTGCCGCGACGTTGGAGTCGCCGAGTGAAAACGAGGAGCGAAGCGAGGAGGAGGAGGAGGAGGAGGAGGAGGAGGAGGAGAAGGAGGAGGAGGAGGAGGAGGAGGAGGAATGGGATGGGGAGGAGGGGGAGGAGGAGGAGGAGGAGGAGGAGGAGGAGGAGGAAGAAGACGAGGAGGACGGCCCGCAACGGAGAAGAGGAAGGGCGGACGCTTGGTCCGGAAGAAGCGAGCAGCAGGAGACGGCGTGCTCCAGACGGCCCTGGCCCTCCGAGACGCCTTCGCCGCCCCGCCGTCGTCGTGATGCCCGCTGGCGTCTTCATGCATTGTTTTTGTCGGTGGCTCGGTTCTCGGACTCCGAAGAAGAAGGAGGAGGAGGAGGAGGAGGAGGAGGGAGGGCAGATGGGGGCAAGGGAAGGAGATACGAAGGAGGAGGGGGGAGAGGGAGCAGGAGGGCAGAGGGGGGCCAGGGGAAGGGCAGCGATGGCGAGCCCCTGTCCTGCGGGTAAGAGTCGTGTCCATATCCACTGCGTCTTGGGCTTCCTGTGCAGGAGCGCCGGAAAGGCCGAGGCGCACCGGGTGTATTGGGAGAATACTCCAGACTTCGTAATAAAGGGAGGGGGGTCTCATTTCGGGGGGGGTCTCTTCCAGGCTATCTTGGAGGGCCTGGGGGGGTCTGGGGACGATGTTTTGGAGGGTTCTCCCACGGGGGGGGGTCTAAAGCTTCTCGTCTGGGAGGGTTGAGACCCTCTCCCTTTTATTACGAAATCTGGAGTATCTAGCTTGTAGGGGCCGGAGTGTTATCCATATCCACTGCGCCTCGGGTTTCTGGGAGAAGGGAGCCTGAAAATGCAGGGTGCAGTGGATATGATATGGGTACAAATCTCGCCCGCATTCCCCTCCACCAGCTCCCCCCCCTTTCGTCACACTCCTCCCTGCCTGCCTCGGCGCCGCCGTCCTCCCCCTCTCGTGGCCGTACATCCCGCGGCGAAGATCCAGCGAGCAGCGCTGGCCAGGAGGGAAGCGAATGAGCGCTGACGCCGACGCAGGTCTTAGCGTGACTGCCATGCCTCCCGTTTCCTCCCCCCCTCTCTCCATCGCCGCTGCCACTGCATGCTTCCTCGATCTGTTTGTCGCTGCAGCAGTCCAGCGCGAAGCCTGCACCCGTGGGTCACACCAGCGCCTGCCTGACAACAGCGCGGATTGAGAGCTCGGCTTGTGCCCGCGCGTTGCTTCTTCTGCTTCGGGGCCAGGCGCTATGATGTGGTCCCTGGGGAAGGCCTCCTCGGCGCCCCGTGCCGAGTCGGCCCTCTGCGCTCGTCGTGTTCGTCGTCGCCCCTCGCTGTCCTGAGAATCGCCGTCGTCGTCGTCGTCGTCGTCGTCGTCGTCGTCGTCGTCGTCGTCGTCGTTCACAGTCGTCGTCGTGACGTCACTTCTCGACGTTGCCCGCCCGTGCCAGAGGCGCCCGATCGGTGTCATCCTTGCTGTCGTCGTCGCTTTGCCGTCGTCGTCGCCGTCGCCGTCGCCGACATCGTCGTCGTCGTCGCTGTCGCCTGCGCCGCGGTCGTCGGCGTCGCCCTTGCCGATGTCGTCGTCGTCGTCGTGTTCGTCGTCGTCGTCGTCGTTCTTGTCATCGTCGTCTTGGTCATCGTTGTCTTGGCTCGGTGCGCGCCCGAGGTTATCGACACCCCCGAGGTGTCCCGCGTGTATATCGGCTCCCTGCCAGCAGGGGTGGTCGGGGCGATGGGCCTGGCGAGGGGAGGGGGGGCTGGTAAAATGATACGTTCCAGGAGTCCTGGGTCGTCCTGGTTCCCAAGCTCCGTTAGCGTCCCCGCTGCGGTCCCCGCTGCGTGAGCGCGTTAGCCCCTCCCCCCTTCCTTCCTCCCTCGGCCGCGCCTCTTCTCCCTCCTTCTCCTCTTGCATCCGGGCAACTCGCCATGCCGTCCCCTGGCTTGCCGAGCGCAAGTGCGGGCTGCCTCTGCCGCGCTGCGACGGGAAACGACGGTTTTCCAAGCTCCCAAGTCGGGCCCGAGCACATTGGGCCGGAGGATCGCGCCGCATCGCCGATGCACCGGCGATGCGGCTCGATGTAGATCCCGATTCTCTCCACGCTGGAGGCACCGATGCATCTGCGAGGCGGCGCGATCTTCCGACCCCATCCGCTCGGACCCCCTTTGGGAGGCCCCACGATACGTCCCAAGATTTCCAAGTCTGCTCCATCCTCACACCCCCTGGGCTCCAGAAGCGAGGGGGTTTCGATGCTCTGGGGCTCCTGGGCCGCATCCTGATGATTTATGGTGTTGATATTGGTGCTGATGATACTGCTGATGATGCTGATGATGCTGATGTTGATGGTGATAACAATGATGATGCTGATGATGATGCTGATGCTGCTGATGATGTTGATGGTGATGATGATGATGATGATGATGATGATCATGACCATGATCATGTTCATAGCGACGGTGGTGGTGGTGATGGAGATAACGATAACGATAACCATGGCGCTGACGACGGCGATGCTGATGCTGATGCTGATGATGATGGTGGTCATGATGATGGTGATGCTGATGATGATGGTAATGGTGATTGAGATGGTGGAGGTGATAGTGATTGTGATTGATGATGGTAATGGTGATGGGGATGATAATGATGATGCTGAGGATGACGATTGTGATGCTGATGCTGATGATGGTGGTGATGCCGATGACGAAGACGACGACGATGATGATGATTCTGATGATTTCTGATGACGAGTGATTCCGATGACGATGACGATGACGATGATAATGATGATGATGTTGATGATGATGATGGTGGTACGGGGGAGGACGATGATGCTTATGATGACGATGATGATGGTGGTGGTGGTGAGGATGATGGTGATGGTGGTGATGGTGGTGATGCGGGTAATGATGATGGGGATGATGATGATGATGATGATGATGATGATGATGGTGATGATGATGATGGTGGTGGTGGTGTTGGTGGTGGTGGTGGTGATGGTCATGATGCTGGTGGTGATGGTAAGACTGCAGACGATGAGACGGCGGTTAAGATCATGGTCATGGTCATGGTCATGCTGACTATGCTGATGATGATCAAGAAGACGATGATGCTGATGATGATGATAATGATGACGATCACGATGGCAATGCTGATTATGATGACGATACCGATGCTGATGGTGATGCTGTTGATGATGACGGTGATGGTGATGACGATGACGATGGTGATGATGGTGATGATGATGACGATGATGATGATAATCTCGACGACGATGGCGATGACGATGACGATGGTGATAATGATTACGACGATGCTGGTGATGCTGATGCTGATGCTGATGCCGATGATGATGCTGACGATATTGATGATGAGCCAGTTTCTTTGATGATAATGGTGATGATAATGGTGGGATGGGGGTCGGGTGATGATGATGGGTGAGGATGGCAGTGGTGATGATGATGACGATGACGATGATGATGATAATCATGATGATGATGATGATGATGATGATGATGATGATGATGATTTTGATGATGGTGGTGATGATGATGGTGATGATGATGATTATGTGTATGGTGTTAATGATGCTGATGGTGTTGGTGCTGCTGTTGATGATTATGCTGCTGATTGTGGCGATGAATGGTGCTTCTGATGACGGTGGTGCTCATGCTTGTGCTGATGATGGTGACACCGATGATGATGATGATGAATGAGGAGGATGAGGAGGATGAGGATGAGGATGAATCTAATGATGATGATGATGATGATGATGATGATGATGATGATGATGATGAAGATGAGGATGATGAGGATACAACGAGGATGATGATGATGAGGATGCAGATGAAGATAAGGATGACGAGGAGGATGCTGATGATGAGGAGGATGGTGATGATGATGATGAGGATGGTGATGATGATGATGATGATGATGATGATGATGATGATGATGATGATGATCATGATGATGATCATGATGATGATCATGATGATGATCATGATGATGATGATGCTGATGATGATGATGATGATGATGATGATCATGATGATGATGATCATGATCATGGGTGTATTCAGTACGGGAAGCAGGCACTGTAGTTGAGCATCGCCGTATGGCCACTGCCACTTGTGCTCAAGCTCTGAGTCAGGGCGCCCCCACATTCTGGTGATGCAAGCCGCCATTCGCCAGCTTGTCGGACGGATCGCTGAGGGGGCCTCGACTGGCCTCGTCGTGTGGGCTGGGCGGCCGACTTGCCCGGCGTGTGAGTGCTCGCCAGTCTTGAAGTGTCCGCCGCTGACCTGCACGACCGGTGACGTTGCCCACATCCCGCCAGTGACGCCGCTCACGGTTGGGGTCATCTGCGCCTCCATCGCCCTGCTTGCCTTCTTCGCGGGCCGGCTGACGCGCTTGGGAGTTAAGACCGGGCGGCACGCCGACGACCTGGACGCCACTGCTCGGGCCCAGGTAGCTCAGTACAAGGCCAAGGCTTTGGCACAATGATGCTGGCTGCTGCTGGCCAGCACCCACTCACCGCGTCTCACGACCTTCAGGTGGGCGACTTCTGTGTTGTGCGCTACAACGTTCCAGGCGGGGCCCTGTACCACGAGCGGCTGGTCAACTACCTGCCGCTGGGTGCCGGGCTGACCGTGTCCACGCCCGACGGCGACGAGTACGAGGAGGTGTGGGGCCTGCCCGATATCATCGAGTGGGAGCCGCTGCCAAATCGGCAGCCGGGTGGCGTGCTGATGGGTCGGCCGGGAGCGCGATACTATCGGTTCAGAGCTGGTGCGATGCCGACTGCGGCGAGCCTCACGGCGTCCGCTGTGGCTGCTGCTGGGCGCCTGGGCCAGCCTGCGCCGGGCGGGCCCTTGGTGCCAGCCCTCGGCGGGCGCCTCGTCGGGCCGCCGGCGGGGGGGGCCGCGCCTGGCGCGCTCGAAGCCGGGGGCGCCGCTGCCCCGCTTGGCGGAGCGCCGGGCGCGCCGGCGGCGGCCCCTGCAGCTGCGCCGGGCGGAGTGGCCCCGGCGGCGGGGCTCGGCGGCCTGGTGGCGGCGCTCGGTGGCCCAGCGGCAGGAGCACCAGCCGGCGTGCTTGTTCCAGGCCCGCTGCCCGCCCCCGCTGCGGCCGGCGCCGCGGCGGCCGCGGCTCCAGGAGCCGACGGAGTGCTCGCCGCCGCTGCCGCCGGGGCCCCAGGGGCGGCCGCCGCCCTTGTGCCCGCGGACGCGGGCGCCGCCGCAGCTGCCGCGGGCCCGCCCGCTGCTGGGGGAGGCGCGCCCGCGGGTGCTGCGGGCGCTGGTGGCCACGTCCAGGACGCGAGGGTGCTCCCGGTGGTGTACGACGCCATGGGCAACCGTCGGCGGGAGTTCCGCGAGGCGGTGCTGGCCTGCCGGGAAGACCAGTGGGCGGGGTGGCCCGTGCGTGGACCTCGCACCGCGCTCTGGGTCCTGCGGTACATCATCGAGCACGGCGGGACGCCGACCGGGATGCACTCTCGGTGGCGCAGTGAGGCCCGCCTCCAGGAGCACGAGCCCGGGGTGCAGGAGCATGAGCGCTCGTGCCGGGCGCTGGAGGAGCTCATCTGCTACGACCAGTGTAATGGGGCGAATCTGGCGGCCGTGGAGCTGCTGGTGCGGAACATCCAGGTGCAGCAGGAGAGGTACCGCGACAGGAGCGCTGGCGGCTCAGGAGGCGGCGGCCCCGACAGCGTCGACACGCACCTGTACATGGGCAGCGAGCTGACCAGAGGAGGAGTGTGTGTGTGCCCTCTCCTCCAGGAGTGGGCCAGCGCCCAGCTGGCCAAGGAGCAGGCGCTGCTCAAGGAGCGGCGCAAGGCCCGGGAGGAGAGGGAGCTTGCCAAGAAGGGGAACAACAAGAAGAACAAGAAGGATGAAGAGGGGTGATGTTCCCCTCGGCCGCGCCGGTTCCAGGCGGCTGGCGCGGCCCCCTGACTGAGACGCCTGTGGACCGTGATGCCTCTAACGGTCCGCCGAACAGAGAGGTTTTTGACATGCTGGGGCATAGCGGCCGCCAGCGCGACATTTTTCCGCTGCCCCCGCTGTGCCGAGATCACGTCGGCGCGGCGGGCCGCCGGGACCTGTCCCGGGTCACCAGGCGGCGTGGGGAGGCTGCCAAGCACATCCTCGATTGGGGCGACGACTGCATCGACGCCCTGAACGACTTGCACGGCCACCAGGATCGGCCGGCGGTCCCCGCCAACGCTGGTCAGCGACACGCAGTGGAGTATGTCGAGTCGCGAGTGCGCGCGCTTGGCAAGCCCCCACCAGAGGCAGGCTTCCGCGAGGGAGCCCTTCGTGAGCTCCTCGCGGGGACGGGGATCTACCAGATGGGTGATCTCTCCTCCCGACGGCCGTATGTCAAGGAGTCCATTTCCTGGCCCTCGCCCGACGTGCAGCCCGTCCCGCTGTGCGCTTGCCTGGGTGAGGCCGAGTCTGAGTGGCTGGGCCGCTGGCAAAGCACCTTGCTCAGGCCAGATCAACCTACATCCGCAGAACGTGCTGAGTTCTGCCCGCACGGACCTTTTTTTGATCCCAGTCTCTTCAGTAAGCCTCTGCTTTACGCCGATTTTGTCGCCAAGCTGCTGGCCCGCGGCATGGTGGAGCTGAGGGGGGGCTGTGACGCGGCCACCGTGGGCTGCTTCTTCGTCGCGAAGAAGAACAACAAGTTGAGAGTGATATTTGATACGAGGTATGCAAATCTATTTTTCGGGCGACCAGCTCGGACCGCCTTGCCGACTGCTACGGCGCTTGCGGCGTTCGAGAACCCAGGGCACGACACCTACCTTGCCTCGGGCGACATCGATAATGCCTTTTACAGGTTGCGGCTGCCCGACGGCCTGTCGTCCTACTTCAGGCTGCCCGCCCTGGACGCCAGCCTGCTCGGGATCACGCACCTGGGCGGGGCGCGGCTCGCGCGAGGGGCGCGGGTGCAGCCTTGCGTCTGCGTGCTGCCGATGGGCTGGAGCCACGCGCTGGCCCTCTGTCAGGGCGTGCTGCGGCGGGCCCTGGACTCCGCGGGGTTCACAGATGGCCAGTGCATCGAGGACGGGAAGGCCGGGGTCGTGGTCGACGAGGAGGGCGCCCTGGCGGTCGCCGGCTACGTCGACAACTACGCTGCCCTGGGTCGCTCACCGGCCATCGTCGACCGAGTCGCCCTCGCCGTCACGCGCGTGCTGACGGATAAGGGGCTGCTCACGCACGATGAGGAGCCGGCCGCCCGCGATGCCACCTTCGTAGGCTTAGAGCTGAAGAGAGGACGTGATCTTTCGATTAAGGCCAGGAGCATTTGGAGGCTTCGTTTTGGGATCGACGCCCTGCTCAGGCAGGGGTTCTGTTCGGGAGACGCTCTCAGAATCATCATCGGTCACTTTACCTGGGCTGGGCTGATTCGCCGTGAAGTCCTCTCTTTGCTCAACTCATGCTACCAGTTTGCAGAGCGGATCGGGCAGCGACAGGCCCGACTGTGGAGATCAGTGCGGCGCGAGCTCTGGCGAGCTCGCTGTATCCTACCGTTGCTCAGCGTTGACCTCAGCGCCGAGTGGTGGCCAGAGGTAGCCGCGTCAGATGCTTCGTTGTTTGGTCTTGGAGTCACTGTCCGAAGAGCTCCCATCCAGCTGGTATCCTCTATTGGCCGATGCAGTGAGAGATGGCGCTTTCGGGTTGACGGGGCCCAGCGGGCTCGCGAACATGCCCTTCGTCAGGCTCCTGTGGACTCCATCAATGACCCCGACAAGGCCCTTGAGAACCTGCTGGTCGACAACCCCGTGGTCTTCGACGAGGTCCCCATGGGTTTCCTGAAGTCAGACACCTGGAAAGTCGTTCATGCCTCGAAGGTCGCTGGGTCCACGGACATCCTAGAGCTCGAGGGGGAGGCGCTCCTAATGGCTATTCGTCACACGCTCAGAAACACCGGGGCTCTTGGGAAGAAGATCCTGTTCATAGTGGACAACCTACCACTGGCCCTAGCGGCCACGAAGGGGCGGGCAAACTCTCGATACCTCCGACACGTGCTTCAGAAGATAGCTGCTCTTTCACTGACTACAGGGTGCAGGATAGTTGTGCGGTGGGTGCCATCTGAACTCAATCCTGCTGACAATCCGTCTCGAGGTGATCACGGTTTTTTCACTACTCCATATCACGTGCACCTTGCCCGGCCGCATGGCTGGGCGCCGGCGGCCAGCGGCGGCGCAGGCCGCCGTCGAGCGGGCGAGGAACGCCCAGCAGGTGGCCGCCTCCACGGTGCAGACCTTCGGCCTCTCGGTCCTCGAGTCCGCAGCGATCCGCCCGAACGCGCAGAGGCAGTACCAGGACCGCCTGGCGACGCTGGTCCTCTTCTGCCGGACGTACCACCTGGACTGGGACAGCTGGGAGACGCTGGACAATGCGGTCACCGAGCTGCTGAACCATCAGTTCCTGGACGGCAAGTGCTCGGACCTGGGGACGCAGCTGATCGCGGCGCTGGCGCACGTCTACCCGAGGCTGGCTCGACGCAGCGGGCTGTACCTGCCGCGCGCTTGCCGCGCTGCCGGGGCCTGGAAGCGTCGGGCACCCGGGCGCTCGAGGCTGCCGATGCCGAAGACTGGCGCGGCGGCGATCGCCGGGGTGATGCTGTTCCTCGGCCAGCGCCGAATGGCCATCTACACCGTGCTGACCTTCATCTGCTACCTCAGGCCGCTGGAGGGGATTGCACTGCTGGGCAGGCACCTGGTCGCCCCGGTGTCGGCGGCAGGCGCGAGCTACGCGAGCTGGGGGCTGCTTCTCCACGACTTCGAGCTCGGCCAGCCGTCCAAGACCGGCACCTCGGACGACGCGGTGCTCATCGACCAGGACAGCTGGATCCTGCCAGCGCTGGCCGGGCTCCAGGCGGCGACGCACGCCGACGCCTCGCTGTGGGACTTCGGCGCGACGGAGTTCAGGATGATGTTCAAAGCGGCCGCGGACCTGCTGGGGCTGGGGCAGCTTGCCCCGCATCCCTACTCGCTCCGGCACGGCGGGGCGTCAGACGACCTTCTGGCCGGCCGCCGAAGCCTGGAGCAGGTACGGGCGCGAGGCCGGTGGGTGTCTGCGTCAAGCCTGCGCCGATACACCAAGGCCACGCGCCTGCTGCGGGAGCTGCAGGAGGTCCACAGCGACATCTTCGGCTTCGGGAACTTTGTGATGACCCACTTCACGGGACTCGTCGAGCACGGGCTGACTGGCCCGCTTTTCGACCAGGTCCCGGCGAGCGTGAGGAGCCTGTTGCCTGCGGGCCAGAGCGGCGGGGCCACGTCCGCCGCCGGCCGCGGGCGAAAGCGGCGGCCAGCGTGACTCACCTGGTCCACGGCGGGGACGTGGGCGCCCACCTCGGTAAGAGGTTCGCTGCGAGCCTGGGCCGGGCAGTGCGCTTGCGGTCGCTGCTGTTCCTCGAGCTCTTCGGGGGCTGTGGCCGCGTCGCGGCCAGCGCGCAGGCCATGGGCTATGCCGCGCTCAGCCTGGACATCAACGGCTCACCTCTTGAGAACCATCTCACCCCGACCTTCCTCAACAGGATCCTGGGGTGGATCGCAAGCGGGGCCATCGCCGGTATCTGGCTTGGTACGCCCTGCAGCACCTGGACCCGTGCGCTTCGGGTCCCGCTGCGAACTGCTGAGTACCCTGACGGGCGGCCTGACCTTTCGCCTGATCTTTTTAGCAAGCTCGATATAGGAAATAAGTCATTCCACTTTTCCCTTCACGTGATCCGTGCATGCCTCAGACACAATGTAGGCGTCATGATTGAGAATCCCCAGACTAGCTTGATGTGGTCCTCGCCTCACTTTCAGAAGCTCCTCAGTTTACAAAGCAGCACTTCTGTAATATGTCACATGTGCCAATTCGGCGCGCCCTGGAGAAAAGCTACTCGAGTGCAAGCCTGGGCCATCGGAGAATTGTGGGAGCTGTCGAAAAAATGCGGCGGCCCCCGAGGCATTTGCAGCAGGACTCTCCGGCCCCACCTCGAGCTCAGTGGGCGGGCGCCAGGCGGGAAGCATTGGACAGCCATTGCCGCCGCCTACCCCGCTGCCTTTGCCAAAGCTGCCGCTGCCATACTCGTGCGCACGTGTGAAAGCAAGCGCTCCCTCGCTCTCTCTGACAGAATGGGAGGGTAGCCCTGATTGTTTTTTCGGCCCCAGGCCAAGTTCGCGTTCGGGTTGCGGATGCGAGGCTCGTTCATCTGTCCAGTGGCTCGCCTTGTTGTCGCGAGTTCGCCGCCGTGCGCTGCTCCTCACAAATACATCATCTCTCTTGGCGACGAGGGTCGGAAGAGGCCCTGCTGGGTGTATTCAGTACGGGAAGCAGGCACTGTAGTTGAGCATCGCCGTATGGCCACTGCCACTTGTGCTCAAGCTCTCCCTCCCTCCCTTTTCTTCCCCCACGAGCTTGAGTGTGGCTTTAATGGCCTGATGCGAGGCTCGTTCATCTGTCCAGTGGCTCGCCTTGTTGTCGCGAGTTCGCCGCCGTGCGCTGCTCCTCACAAATACATCATCTCTCTTGGCGACGAGGGTCGGAAGAGGCCCTGCTGATCATGATGATTCACCAATTGCATCGTGGCGTCGCTCCCGTTCCGCAAGCGTGCCGAATATGTGCGTGGGCGCTCGGCCCAGGGGTTCGGGGTGGGCGGGGTCCCGGTGCGAGGTCAGTCCTCCGCCCGGGAGCTTGGGGAGAGAGGAGGGGGGGGGGCGGGGGATCGGGAGGGGGGCAAGGGAAGAAGAGGGAGAAGTCTAGGGCCACCATGAGGGTGCGCGCTTCGCGGTCTGGGCGATTTCAGAGCGAGGTGCGAGTCCCTCATCCTGTTCCTGGGGTGCGGCGCGAAAGCGCGAAGATAATTGCACTTAGCGCGAAGATAGTTGCCCTAGAAGGAGGCGTGGTTGAGGCATGGAGGAGGCCCAGTTCTGGAAGACG